TTATATATAAATTTTAGATATTATATTTATATAAAATTTTAATTTTTTTTATTTTTAATAATTAAAATGTATTATAATTTTTTAGATAAAAAATAATTTTTTAGATAAATTCTTTTAATAAATATAATAAATAAATAAATAAATCTCAACAAGTAATAAAACGAAAATAAATTGTTTGGGATCATACTTACTTTCCCCTTTATTTCTTGTAATTACCAGGTTGCTTTTTGTTGCCTGTGAATTTAGGTAAATATAATAGTCTGTGTCTCTACTGTATTTTTTTTTTTGGTACATAAGAAGCTAAACAAAGCTAAGTCCTAAGGAACAAAGTTCCCATGTTGTCTCTATGAAGAATGCTCCCAATGCTATCAGGTGGATTCGGGAAGAATGTAGTGCCTTGAGTAAGATTATGGCCAAGTGAGGCCATAAAATCAGCTGCCGAGTTCCCTTCGCGCAAAGTGTGCTGGATTGTGCAAACTGTGAAGGAGTCTATCAAATGGAAAATATCCAGTAACAATACAGAAGGCAGACCTTCCCCAGCTTTCCTCGCTTGAATCATCTGTACCGCTAAAAGAGAGTCCATTTCAAGAATCAAGTGGGTAATTCCCAGCTCAGAAGCCAACTGAAGACCAGTGCGGCAGCCCCAAAGCTCTGCCATGTAGCTGGATTGTTGTCCAATGTTAGTGGCGAAACCGTGCCGCCATCGGCCTCCATGGTCACGGATGAGTCCGCCAGCACTAGCACTCCCAGAGGGATGGTTCATTGCCCCATCGGTGTTCAACTTAAGAAATGGAAAATTCGGAGGGAACCATCTCACCCATCTAGGTGAACGGGTATGTGCCATAACACTTGTTGACAAAGCCAACCTTGTATCAGCTGCTAAGGAGGAAGCTTGATGGTAGAGGACATGAGGGGGAATCGTCCTGTTGTCAAAAATAAATGTGTTCCGGCCCTTCCAAATCACCCAGATGGTAGATAGAAAGAATGTAGACCAGTTGTGAAGCAAGGCTCCATTAGATGAAGTATCCTGCACATTCCTTCTCAACCATTCTTCAAAGCTCAAATTGAAAAAGGTATTAGGGAGGATAGTCGAAGACTCCCAGATCAAACGGGAATGGAAACAGTCTCTCAAGAGATGCAATGGTGTCTCCGCTTCTTGCTCACATCTTGGGCAAACTGGGGTTGTTGCAAAATGTCTCTCAAATCTCACAGAATTGGTGAGTACTCTGTTTCTCTGAAGAAGCCAAACAAACAATTTGATTTTTTCCAAGCATTGTAGCTTCCATATCCACTTCCAATGCCCTTCTTGTTGAGTCGGATTTACATGCTGTTTTTGCAGTAGAGAGAAAGCAGACTTTACAGAAAAAAGACCATCTTGTGAACCACTCCAATATGCTCTATCTGGTTGCTGCGCAAACATTGGGATTGGGATTGCCAAAATCTGCTCCACGACATTTCTAGGAAGAAGGTGCCCGAGCAGGACCTCATTCCATTCACCAGCCGAAGTAATAGCATGGGAAACAAGGATATCCATGGAAGCAGATAAATCTTGTGAAAGAACCTCTTCATGTAAAGGCTTGTCACCGACCCAAATATCCTGCCAAAATTTTATCTGTTGTCCATCACCCACCCTCCATCTCAAGCCGAGTTGCAAGATACTCCTGCACTTCAGAATACTGTATCTTAATTAGACTTTTATCTCTATTGTGAAAATTTAGTTATTTATTTGGGATTGTAGTTATTTTTCTATTTATTTCTTGTCAGAATTTACTCA